CGGTGATACGGTGACACGGTGATACGGTGATACGGTGACACGGTGATACGGTGACACGGTGACACGGTGACACGGTGACACGGTGATACGGTGACACGGTGATACGGTGACACGGTGATACGGTGACACGGTGATACGGTGACACGGTGATACGGTGACACGGTGATACGGTGACACGGTGATACGGTGACACGGTGATACGGTGATACGGTGACACGGTGATACGGTGACACGGTGATACGGTGACACGGTGATACGGTGACACGGTGACACGGTGATACGGTGACACGGTGATACGGTGACACGGTGATACGGTGACACGGTGATACGGTGACACATCGAAATAGTGACTCGAGATGCACAAACACACCACCTGAACACAGCGACACATCGCCATCGCCACGGCCACGCGTCAACACACCGCGTGAACACAGCATCACATCGCCACATCGCACCAAATGCTACACCCGACACGAGCACTGTGAGAGAGAAACGCTCTGCGGGAGTGTGATTGGCAGCGACGTCACAACGCTCGCGGGCTGTGATTGGCAGCGACGTCACAACGCTCGCGGGCTGTAATTGGCTGCAACGTCACAACACTCTGCGGGCTGTGATTGGCTGCAACGTCACAACGCTCGCGGCTGTGATTGGCTGCAACGTCACAACGCTCGCGGGCTGTGATTGGCTGCGACGTCACAACGCTCGCGGGCTGCGTGGCACAGCGGGCACAGTGACACAACGCTCCGTACCTTGACGTACGGCACGCGGTTCTTGTCCTCGTGAACGGAGAGGTTCGTCTTGGAAACTGAAAAACGCACACACGCACGTACGCTCACACTCGCACGTTTACACGCGTGTTCACACTCGCGTTTACACACACGCACATTCACGCACTTGCATGTTCACCGCAATGCACGTTCCCTGTGTGTCTTCTCTGTGTATGTACCTCGTGTCTGTTCACGAGTCCCTGTCCTCTGTTTTACGTTGGCATGTTCAGCCCGGATGATGAACACGAGAGATTCGGCAGTCTTTGTGAAATACGTGGTCAACCAGGTTAGTGTCTCACTGTGTTGTTGGCCGACTGGTTTGCGTCACGTGATGCTCACGTGCAGTTTGACGTTCTCTGTGTGCTGTGCACGTGGTGTCCCTCCTCTGTGTGTTCCCTTGCTGTGTGTTTCACCCCATTTCCACCTGACGATGAGTGCTTGTGTTGCGTTCGAAACGTCGTGATTTATTTTAATTATTTTATTTTAGTTCTACATACGTGACTTTACCGAAAAAACCAATGAGTACAACACATGTTCACACACAACACACGTTCACACACACACAAAAAAACAAAGATCCCCCGTATAGCCTGAAGAGACTGTAGGGGCAAGTGCTGTTAGCGAGCACCTATGAAGGCCGGAACGGTACACGAGGGGGTGGGTGGCCAGCACCACGCCCGACCGCCTTTGTCTCCCTAGTGGCGATGTTTACACATCGCACTAGGTACTCATTTAAGGCTGAGTCGACCTAGGGGAGGCCCAGGAACGGTTTAGATAATCGTCACTGGTGTTTGGCCGTGAGCGGGAACACACACACACACACACGTTCACACACACACGTTCACACACACACGTTCACACACACATGTTCACACACAGCACACGTTCACGCACCCACCTGTTCACACACGTACAGCACATGCACATGAACACGCTTGACGCGACTACCGCTCCTCTCCAGACTCCACACAACCCTCACCGCCCCCCCCCCTCCCCCATCGCTAATGAACGAGACGTTACAGGTGGCAGCAATCTGGAGCACACGGAGGAAACCCCGAGCGGGCGATGGGGAACAGATGGAGAACACGTGCTAGTCGGCTTTCGCGACCAATATCATCAATAATAAAGGTTATAACTCTTTGGTTCTTTCGGTAAAGTCACGTATAAAGATAAAATAATAAATTAAATAATAGCATACGTATGCTATTATTTAACGAAAGAACCAAAGAGTAATTATGTTGGGTTAGATCATGTAAATATATGAATGTGTCGTTAAACCCCTGCACCACCCGACACAGCCAACTAGTAAGGGTTGTCACGTAAACAGAAACGTGGCTGATTTGTCACTAGTACAGCACTAGTGTATAGTGTAGTGTATAGTGTAGTGTATAGTCGTGTAGTGTATAGTGTAGTGTATAGTAGTGTCGTGTATAATGTAGTATACTAGTACAGCACTAAACGGTTGTGAGTTTGAGAGCCAATCCACAACATTTACGATCTGCGTACGACGTTTCGCCAGTAATCATAGTAATGATGATGCTAGCTGTAATTACTGGCGAAATATGGTACTTGAGATTGTAAATGTTGTGGATTTGCTCTCCAGCACACAACCGGCGCGTGCTGTACTAGTGACGAATTGACCACGTTCTGTTTACGTGACGAACCATTCGTGGTTGTCTGTGTCGGGGTAGTGGTGGGTTTAATGATAACACGATTATATATTTATATACGTGACCTGACCCAAAAACAACCTCGACGATTAGAGATGGAGGTTAGTCCACACCGCCTCTTCGACGCCCACGGCAAGGGAGTTTCACGTCCCATCTGCGCTTACAGGCAGCCGCGTGCAGCAGCGTAGCCACCACCACAATCATCATCAGCAGCAGCATGAGCGACACAATCATCAGTAGAAGCACCACCACAATCATCAGCAGAAGCACCACCACAATCATCAGCAGAAGCACCACCACAATCATCAGCACGACCACTACAATCACCATCAGCAGCAGCATGAGCAGCACAACCATCAGCAGAAGCACCACCACAATCATCAGCACGACCACCACAATCACCATCAGCAGCAGTATGAGCGGCACAACCATCAGCAGAAGCACCACCACAATCATCAGCACGACCACCACAATCACCATCAGCAGCAGTATGAGCGGCACAACCATCAGCAGAAGCACCACCACAATCATCAGCACGACCACCACAATCACCATCAGCACGACCACTACAGTCACCATCAGCAGCAGTATGAGCACCACAACCATCAGCAGAAGCACCACCACAATCATCAGCACGACCACTACAATCACCATCAGCAGCAGCATGAGCAGCACAACCATCAGCAGAAGCACCACCACAATCATCAGCACGACCACCACAATCACCATCAGCAGCAGTATGAGCGGCACAACCATCAGCAGAAGCACCACCACAATCATCAGCACGACCACCACAATCACCATCAGCACGACCACTACAGTCACCATCAGCAGCAGTATGAGCACCACAACCATCAGCAGAAGCACCACCACAATCATCAGCACGACCACTACAATCACCATCAGCAGCAGCATGAGCAGCACAACCATCAGCAGAAGCACCACCACAATCATCAGCACGACCACCACAATCACCATCAGCAGCAGTATGAGCGGCACAACCATCAGCAGAAGCACCACCACAATCATCAGCACGACCACCACAATCACCATCAGCACGACGACGACCACCGGCACCACCGCATGACGTTCTCACCGTCAAGGAGATCGCGAATCTTGTCCATGTAGATCTCAAAGTAGGAGACCTGTACGGGGGGGGGGGCAAGAGGTCACGTGACGGTGATGAGCTCGTCCACTGGGTAGTCTCATACCTGTCAACCCCTTGTCAGTGCCCTGCCTTATTACAAACCAATTCACACCTTAGTGGTCACCCCGTGCCCCTTATACATCTCAACGTTCATCCTACAAAGTCCCATCACCACAAGGGAGAAACACAAACAAAGACACAAACTTATTTCTGTTGCCCGTATTGAAACGGCTGTGCGCCGTGTGGACCTGAAAACTCGATTCGCCTGCACAGGAATACGGAGTGAACCGTGATGGGTTGACACGGTGTGTAGTCTGCGTGCATGCGTGTCTGTGTTGTTTGTGAGGAGTGGTGGCGCAGCGGTTAGCGCAGCGGTTAGCGCGCTTTGCGCTACGAACACGGCGACCCGAGTTCGATTCCCGCTCACGGCGGCCGCCAACCCCGGTGACGATTATCTGAACCGGTCCTGGGCTTCCCCTAGGTCGACTCAGCCTCAAATGAGTAGCTGGTGCGGTGTGTAAACATCGCCACCGGGGAGACAAAGGCGGCCGGGCGTGCGTAGTTGCTAGGCCACCCATCCCCTCGTGTGCCGTGCCGGCCTTCATAGGTGCTGCTCGCTAACAGCACTTGCCCCTACAGTCTGTGAAGGTTACACGGGGGATCTTTATCTCTGTACCTTGATGTGGAACTCGAGATTCTCATCCATCGAGTAGATGTAGTTGAAGACGTCCTGGACGATGCGGGGAATGATGCCCATCAGGTGCCCATCGTGCAGCTTGCCCTGCACACCATCATCATCAGCAGTGCCATCATCATCATCAGCGTCATCATCAGCAGCAGCGCCATCATCATCAGCACAATCAACATCAGCATCGTCATCATCGGCACCATAATCATCGGCGCTACCATCATCAGTGCTATCATCATCAGCACCATCATTATCATCAGTGCCATTATAAGCAGTGCCATCATCATCAGCGCCATCATCATTATCAGCGCCATTATAATCAGCACCATCATTATCAGCGCCATCTTCATCAGCGTCATCATCAGCGCCATCATGATCAACACTATCATCATCAGTGCCATCATCATCATCAGCACCGTCATCATCGCCGTCATCAGCACCAGCATCATCAGCGCCATCATCATCAGCACCATCATCATCAGGGCAGCGTTAAAAGTTGACATTATTCCATGAGTCAGTGATTGCATGTTCAAAATTATAAGAAAAAACAACTGGATTCACGGTTTATGAATCTGCACGTTACACTCAGCGAGTATATTTATAAATGCACAACTCTTAGGTTATCACGGGTGCGCAAGATTCATACATTGTAAGCTCGATTGAACAGTTCGATTAAACCTACTCACTCTACACAACAACAAAAGACAAAGATCCCCCGTGTAGCCTTAACAGACTGTAGGGGCAAGTGCTGTTAGCGAGCACCTATGAAGGCCAGAACGGTACACGAGGGGGTGGGTAGCCAGCACCACGCACGACCGCCTTTGTCGCCCTAGTGGCGATGTTTACACACTGCACCAGGTACTCGTTTAAGGCTGAGTCGACCTAGGGGAAGCCCAGGACCGGTTCAGATAATCGTCACTGGTGTTAGCCGTGAGCGGGAATCGAACCCGGGTCGCCAGGTTCATAGCGCAGCGCGCTAACCACTACACCACCACTCCCCACATACACACACACATGTACACGCACACACATGTACACACACACACACGTACATACGAATCAGATTACACTTCCTACCGGAGCACGAAGATGTGGGGGCTTACAGGAACCTTTCAGACGCTAATCCGATTGCAGTCAAGGGGATTGTGACTCTCACCTCCATCGTGTGCGTCTTGCCCGACGACGTCTGTCCGTACGCGAAGATTGTTCCATTGTATCCCTCAAGGACATCTGCACACAGACACCCGCAGCCATGTTTGTTTGTTGTAGTACAGAGTTAGACTGATGGCCTTAATCTAAGTTGTCTTGTGGTTGTTGTTGTTGTTTGACTTGCATCCCACTGGGATTATTGCACACAGCGTTGGTGTACGGTGATTTTTTTTTCTGCAATATTTTGCTGTCTTTTCTTGAATTTTCTGTTTGCACATAGTCACTTTAAGATGTTTTTGTTCATGTTTTAGTTTTCTGTTTGTTGCGGTTGCACCCGATTCAAGAGCCGAATGGCTCACAGGGCTACACCAAATAAATGAACTTGAACTTGACACACACACACGCCAGCAGCCACACACAGACAATGTACGCGCCAAGAGGCAGACGCACGACAACATCCACCGTTCACCGCTAAGTGATGGTGACAGCCACAAAGATAAAGATTCCCCCCGGCCACGTAGCCTTCAACAGACTGTAGGGGCAAGTGCTGTCAGCGAGCAGCACCTATGAAGGCTACCGGCACTGTGGCACACGAGGGGGTGGATGGCCAGCACCACGCCCGGCCGCCTTTGTCTCCCCAGTGGCGATGTTTACCACACACCGCACCGGGTACTCGTGTTGAGGCTGAGCTAACAGCCACAAAGCCACACCGACTAAACACCATCACGACATCACACACGAACCGCCATCACTATCGCCATCAGCCTAACCACCGCCGCCACCTCTTTTTTAATTTAAAGACAATTTTGTTTTTTAATCTCCGGGCTTTGATCCCCGGATCGCCGCTGTTGTCGTCATCATAATCATCGTCGTCATCATCATAATCATCGTCGTCGTCATCATAATCGTTGTCATCGTCCTCGTCATCGTCATCACAATCGTCGTCATCGTCGTCATCATCATAATCGTTGTCGTCGTCATCGTCGTCATCATCATCATAATCGTCGTCGTCGTCATGATCGTCATAATGAAAATCAAAAATATAAAATTCTCACGACGTTTCGATTGCTTGTGTTGCAATCGAAACGTCGTGAGAATTGTTATTGTTTTATTTTATTATTTCCCTTCTACGTGACTTTACCGAAAGAACCAAGAATATGAATCCCTGCAGTCACGAAAGCTTTAAATCGAAATCGTCATCATTGTCGTCGTCATCATCGTCATCGTCGTCATCATCGTTGTCGTCGTCGTCATCATCGTCATCATTGCCGTCATCATCGTCGTCTTCATCAGTCATCATCGTCATCATTGTCGTCATCATCGTCGTCGTCATTGTCGCCATCACAATCGTCGTCGTCATCGTCGTCATGGCATCACGACGACAAAGAAGCGGCGTGGACGCCTCCGCGTGAGCAGAGAACGGCCCGCGGAAGTGGACATCACAGAGTTAGCTCCGAGATCCCTTCTACACGTGACACTCTAGTTCACACACACACACAGTATCGGGCAGCACTGCCTCACCCGCTCTGCCGTACGAGAGGGGTGCCCGTCACCAGCGATAGTTTCGTTCTCAGAGAGCCAGAAATTTGGCAAATTAAGCACAACCCAGTTTATGCAAGTCTATGGGTCTCTGTGTGAGTCTATGGGTCTCTGTGTGAGTCTATGGGTCTCTGTGTGAGTCTATGGGTCTCTGTGTGAGTCTATGGGTCTCTGTGTGAGTCTATGGGTCTCTGTGTGAGTCTGTGGGTCTCTGTGTGAGTCTATGGGTCTCTGTGTGAGTCTATGGGTCTCTGTGTGAGTCTGTGGGTCTCTGTGTGAGTCTATGGGTCTCTGTGTGAGTATGGGTCTGTGTGAGTTTATGGGTCTCTGTATGAGTCTATGGGTCTCTGTGTGAGTCTATGGGTCTCTGTGTGAGTCTATGGGTCTCTGTGTGAGTCTGTGGGTCTCTGTGTGAGTCTATGGGTCTCTGTGTGAGTCTATGGGTCTCTGTGTGAGTCTGTGGGTCTCTGTGTGAGTCTATGTGTCTCTGTGTGAGTCTATGGGTCTCTGTGTGAGTCTATGGGTCTCTGTGTGAGTATGGGTCTGTGTGAGTTTATGGGTCTCTGTATGAGTCTATGGGTCTCTGTGTGAGTCTATGGGTCTCTGTGTGAGTCTATGTGTCTCTGTGTGAGTCTATGAGGGTCTGTGTGAGTCTATGGGTCTCTGTGTGAGTCTATGGGTCTCTGTGTGAGTCTATGGGTCTCTGTGTGAGTCTATGGGTCTCTGTGTGAGTATGGGTCTGTGTGAGTTTATGAGACTCTGTGTGAGTCTATGAGTCTCTGTGCGGGTTTATGGGTCTCTGTGTGAGTCTATGGGTCTCTGTGTGAGTCTATGTGTCTCTGTGTGAGTCTATGGGTCTCTGTGTGAGTCTATGGGTCTCTGTGTGAGTCTATGGGTCTCTGTGTGAGTCTATGGGTCTCTGTGTGAGTCTATGGGTCTCTGTGTGAGTCTATGTGTCTCTGTGTGAGTCTATGGGTCTCTGTGTGAGTCTATGGGTCTCTGTGTGAGTCTATGGGTCTCTATCTGAGTCTATGTGTCTCTGTGCGTGTCTATGGGTCTCTGTGTGAGTCTATGGGTCTCTGTGTGAGTCTATGTGTCTCTGTGTGAGTCTATGGGTCTCTGTGTGAGTCTATGGGTCTCTGTGTGAGTCTATGTGTCTCTGTGCGTGTCTACGGGTCTCTATGTGAGTCTGTGTGTCTCTGTGCGAGTCTCCGGGTCTCTATGTGAGTCTGTGTGTCTCTGTGTGAGTCTACGGGTCTCTGCGCGAGTGTGGGCCTGTTCGCGTTACGTTCGAGAACGCGATTCGAACTCAAACGCACGACCTCGCCTGTGACGGCTTGGGTCCAATGCCAGCCACCCCCGTGACCCCCGTGACCCCTGCGAAACCTCCCCCCCACCCTCCCGAAACCATCGCCGTCACCGTGGCGACCACGCGACGGGCTGCATAAAAGCAAATAAATAAATAAGTGGTGCCTCCCAAATCGTCCATTAGTGGGAGCTCTTTGGGTTGCCATGGCGACGTCAGGGTCTCTGAAGAGATGTTGCTAATGAGCTAGGATGGGGAGGGGGGAGGGGGTGTTGGGGGATGGAGGGAGGGTGGAGGGGAGGGGTAATGGGGGATGGAGGGGATGGAGGGGGGGGTAATGGGGGATGGAGGGGGGGTGGAGGGGGGGTGGAGGGGAGGGGGAATGGGGGATGGAGGGGATGGAGGGGGGGGTAATGGGGGATGGAGGGGGCATGGGGGGAGGGGGAATCTGTGCTCGTGTCTGTCCCTCCACCGGGGTGGTGGGTGAGGTCTCCCGATGTGACGGGATACGGACAAAGAAAGACAAAGGCGGACGGACGACGAGTGACGGACAGACAGGCGGGGGGAGCATGGACGGATGGGTGCCGTGGCCGCTTGGACAAATAGCGACAGGCAGACTCGGCGGACACACGGGTGGACTGAGACAATGGGCAGGAGGACGAGACACGTGGTGAGAGACAGAGACAATGGGCAGGAGACACGTGGTGAGACACGTGGTGAGAGACAGAGACAATGGGCAGGAGACACGTGGTGAGAGACAGAGACAATGGGCAGGAGACACGTGGTGAGAGACAGAGACAATGGGCAGGAGACACGTGGTGAGAGACAGAGACAATGGGCAGGAGACACGTGGTGAGACACGTGGTGAGAGACAGAGACAATGGGCAGGAGACACGTGGTGAGAGACAGAGACAATGGGCAGGAGACACGTGGTGAGAGACAGAGACAATGGGCAGGAGACACGTGGTGAGAGACAGAGACAATGGGCAGGAGACACGTGGTGAGACACGTGGTGAGAGACAGAGACAATGGGCAGGAGACACGTGGTGAGAGACAGAGACAATGGGCAGGAGACACGTGGTGAGACACGTGGTGAGAGACAGAGACAATGGGCAGGAGACACGTGGTGAGAGACAGTGACAATGGGCAGGAGACACGTGGTGAGAGACAGAGACAATGGGCAGGAGACACGTGGTGAGAGACAGAGATACTGGCAGAGAGACAAAAGACGCTACGAGACAACATGGGACAGGCAAGCAGAGACACGGACAATGAAGAGCATAGACACAGAGCCACAGGCGGACACGCGTCTGTCAGGGCCTGTCCCATTCACCCGCAGAGGTTAAAGTGCACCTAGCCTGGCAGGGGCGCTGTGCGCGACGTCACCACCACTTGATGGTGAATACTGTTGTAGGTACGTGTACTGCACAGGTGCGTGTACACGTGTGTGAGTGTACATGTAATTCAGCTAAAATGTTCTTGCTGTAGTTTTCACACTTGATGATGATTGCTTGTGTTGCAATCGAAACGTCGTGAGAATTTTAATTGGTTTTTTTTCCTACGTGATGACTTTACCGAAAGAACCAAGAATATTAATCCCTGCAGTCACGAAAGCTTTAAATCGAAATGTAATTCTAGTTATGCGTGAGTATGTGTGTGTGTCTGTGTACACTCATACACGTGTAGACACGTGTATGAGTGTACACAGTGGGGAGCGGTGGTGTAGCGGTTAGCGCGCTGCGCTATGAACCCGGCGACACGGGTTCAATTCCCGCTCACTGGCAACACCAGTGAAGATTATCTGAACCGGTCCCGGGCCTCTCCTAGGTCGACTCAGCCTCAAATGAGTACCTGGTGCGGTGTGTAAACATCGCCACTAGGGAGACAAAGGCGGTCGGGCGTGGTGCTGGCCACCCACCCCCTCGTGTACCGTTCCGGCCTTCATAGGTGCTCGCTGACAGCACTTGCCCCTACAGTCTGTTAAGGCTATACGGGGGATCTTTTATGTATGTTTATGTATGTGTATGTGTGTGTATGTGTGTATGTATCTTCGCCGGTTGGAAACATTTAGGCTGGCCTGCCTACGATCCATCCTGGGTTTAACCAGGCTGGATTGTGTGAGGAGCTCACAAATCCTTGAAAGATCTGAGCAAAGTCCCATCGGTGAGCTCCTCCGGCAGGCAAGGCTGCGTTGGCTGGGTCATGTAGCCCGCATGCCCAGCCACCGCATGCCTAAACAGCTTTTGTTCGGCCGGATCGAGGGGGCTAAACGGGCGCGGCATGGGCTAGAGAAGAGATGGAGTGATGTGGTACAGGAGGACGTGGAGCTGAGTGGACTTGCCGATGACTGGTACCAGCGGTGTCAAGATCGGCCTCTGTGGAGGAGGCTCGTGAAGGACGCTGCTACTGGTCAGTTGGAGGCAGTCGCCCTCCAACAACAACGGAGGGCGGAGGAGCGATGATCACAACAACGAGCGGAGCGCCGGGTGGCTAAAGCACAGCAAGTTGGTACAGTAGGGGGCACAGGTGGTGCATCAGCCAGTCATCTCGGTCAGTCAACCCGTGGCACCTGCTGGGTCTGCCCCGTGACCTCCTGCCAGCGGGCGTTCGACACTTCACGTGGCCTCAAGGTGCACATGGCCTGGCACAAGCGTCGTGGTGACGTCACCGCCACTTAGTGGCGAATGGCGGTTGTTGTTGTCGATGTGTGTGTTGTGTGTATGTGTGTGTATGTGTGTGTATGTGTGTGTATGCGCACGTACCTTTCACGATCTGCCGTGCACACGCGTTGTACACTTGCTCCTGAGTGGTGTTGGGTGGAAACACGCGGTCAAAGATGTACGGCTTTCCCTGCACACACACCACACACACAACCACAGAGACGCAACACAAGTGGGGCAGTGTTAGCGAGCACCTATTGAGGCCAGCATTGCGGCCACAGCAGCAGTGGTGGTGCGCGCCCGTAACCAAGACAAAGGTCCCCCGTATAGCCTCCAACAGGCGCGCTGGGGCAAGTGCTGCTAGCGAGTAGCACCACCTATCATCTGTGGAGGTCTGCAGGGCACACACCTTTGATCGGTTTAAAGTTGCAAATCGATTCTTAAATCGATTTTGTGTATTAAATTTAAAGTATTACACTGCTGTCCTGTATAATGGTGATCTCTTTCGTCATTACTATTCTCCATAACGACAGTGGCTATTGTAGCGTGTATTACCATATAACTGTATCGTGTATATTACTATATAATTCAACGTCGCACCAAGGACACGCAACTAACAGAAGGTCCTTGCTGATGAAACACGAAATGTCAAAACCGGCCCACGCCTACAAACATCTGGGAAGATCACCAGGACTGGTTAAGGCAAAGCCTGACTGTGCAGCTGATGAGACACTGGATGTCAAAACCAGGCCACGCCTACGAACATCTGGGAAGATCTGCACTGGTTCAGGCCAAGCCTGACTGTGCAGCTGATGAGACACTGGATGTCAAAACCAGGCCACGCCTACAAACTTCTGGGAAGATCACGTGCACTGGTTCAGGCCAAGCCTGACTGTGCAGCTGATGAGACACTGGATGTCAAAACCAGGCCACGTCTACAAACTTCTGGGAAGATCACGTGCACTGGTTCAGGCCAAGCCTGACTGTGCAGCTGATGAGACACTGGATGTCAAAACCAGGCCACGCCTACAAACATCTGGGAAGATCTCCTGCACTGGTTCACTCCAAGCCTGACTGTGCAGCTGATGAGACACTGGATGTCAAAACCAGGCCACGCCTACAAACATCTGGGAAGATCTCCTGCACTGGTTCACTCCAAGCCTGACTGTGCAGCTGATGAGACACTGGATGTCAAAACCAGGCCACGCCTACAAACTTCTGGGAAGATCATGTGCACTGGTTCAGGCCAAGCCTGACTGTGCAGCTGATGAGACACTGGATGTCAAAACCAGGCCACGCCTACGAACATCTGGGAAGATCTGCACTGGTTAAGGCCAAGCCTGACTGTGCAGCTGATGAGACACTGGATGTCAAAACCAGGCCACGCCTACAAACTTCTGGGAAGATCACGTGCACTGGTTAAGGCCAAGCCTGACTGTGCAGCTGATGAGACACTGGATGTCAAAACCAGGCCACGCCTACAAACATCTGGGAAGATCTCCTGCACTGGTTCACTCCAAGCCTGACTGTGCAGCTGATGAGACACTGGATGTCAAAACCAGGCCACGCCTACAAACTTCTGGGAAGATCACGTGCACTGGTTCAGGCCAAGCCTGACTGTGCAGCTGATGAGACACTGGATGTCAAAACCGGCCCAGTGGTGTTGGCTTGCAGTCGATGCCTGGCTGCTGGCAAGATCGATTTCGCACTCCCAGCGAGCTGCTCTGGTGGAGCAGATGGCTCGCCTCGTGTGGCGTTGTTATTCATGCACTTAGGTGTGGGGGCACACACGGTACTGTACAACTAACGCCACCAAACGCCACGTGGCGATCATCTGAACCAAGGCCGTAATTATAATAAATGTCCCCTCCAATATATTGCTTTAAAAAAATTGCTATGCTATGTAAATGAAAACAGCAATTTGCTTAACCTTGGCCACAATATCTGGACTCGTCTTCATATAAATCAATGCGTAGATTTCTGTTTATATGATTGAGGTTATGGTTGTACTTTATTAATCCCTAATCTCTGCCATTACATACAATGAAACAAGAAGTGGTAAAAAAGAAAAAAAACTAGAGCAATGTAATACAATACATTCTAGATTTGAAGCTTTCGTGACTGCAAGGATTCATACTCTAAGGTTTTTTCGGTAAAGTCACGTAGGTAAAAAATTAACTTGATACAGCAAATTTAGATGTGACGGTCCCACCTGATGACGGAGACTTGTGTTGCCTCCGAAACGTCGTGATTTTGTATTATTTTATTTCTATTATTACTTTTATTAATTTTAATTTTATTTTTTACCTACGCGACTTTACCGAAAAAACCTAAGAGTATAATACAATACACTATTCCACATTGTAAAAAATAAATAAAAAGTCCATCTCATGCGTTAGTAATTTTTTTAATATTTGAGGCAGGAAATGAGTTTTCAAATTTAGATATTTTTTTTCTGGGTTGGGACCCCCAGACACCCTGGAAGATTTCGTCCCCCCCAATGTTGTCTCCATGGCTACAGCCTTGATCTGAACCGCTCCTGGACCTCGCCTAGGTCGACCCGGCCTAAATGTGTACCTGGCCCGGTGTGCAGTGCAGCGCGCGGTGTGTGAACATCGCCACTGGGGAGACAACGGCGGTGCTGACCACCCACCCCCTCGTGTGGCAAGGTGCCAGCCTTCGTTGGGTGTTCGCTCACCCCCTCCCCTCCCAAAGGTTGCGTTAAGTCTAAACGGGGGGGGGGCATCATTGTTCTTTGATGATAGTGCAGCTTCGTGCCTGCAGGGGTGACGTAAGCCCATTTATTCCGGGGGGGAGGGAGGGGGTGGCACTGCATCTGCATTGTCATGGAACAAATACTCTTATCGGAAATGTGTCCATCGGATGCGTTTCCCAGGGCTTCGCCTCCCAAAACCATTTCTCGTGCACTCCACATCTCTCTCTCTGTCTGGCTTCTCTTGTGCGCCGTGCAGAAGGCACATTGCCCGAAACAACACCACGCGCGCTCGTCAATAATCACCGCATGGCCCTTAAAGAGAAGGGTCATTTCCCGACGTTTCGGGCAATGACCCTTCTTCGTAGCATAGACAGGGTGCTTCAAAACGTGTTTAATGCTTCTGGGAATTTGCAACGACGCCGCGGGAAACGAGCCGCCTCCTGGCTCTGGAGACCACCTGGAGATGATTCCAGGCCACGTGTTGATGACGATGGTGAACACGTGGGAGACTCGGTGACGTCACAGTATTATTATTATGATTATCCGTTCCATTAAAAACGACAGTCCCATACAAGTTTTACATTTTGAGACATCTCCTTTACTAGTGGCAAAATATAGTAATAGGTGCTGTTTCATTCAGACGCTGTCTCCCCGACAGACCTGGTCTTCACCTGAGGACGGCTGCTTGCGTTGTGGCCGAAACGTCGTGAGAATTATTTTATAATGTTTTATTTTTATTATTTTATTTTATTATTTCCCTTCTACGTGACTTTACCGAAAGAACCAAGAAGATGAATCCCTGCAGTCACGAAAGAAGCTTTAAATCGAAATAGTAATAGGTGTTTACCCTTTTCAACTGGTACAAAAACTGACACCTTTATACAAGGCATCATGTTTGCAATAACCACAACACAAGCAGTCAAAATGCAAACCAAAAGAAACAACTCTGATAATGATATGCACTGTCCTTGAATGTACGCCTTTTGGCGTCATCTGGTCCAACACCAATTGAGACTAGGCTCTAAGAAAAACTGTCTCGGGTGTGGACCAATCAACTTCAAGGACAGTGCATAGCATTATCATTATCAGAGTTGTTTCTTTTTGTTTGCATTTTGACTGCTTGTGTTGTGGTTATTGCACACATGATGCCTTGTATAAAGGTGTCAGTTTTTGTACCAGTTGAAAAGGGTAAACACCTATTACTACTTCGATTTAAAGCTTTCGTGACTGCAAGGATTCATCTTCTTGGTTCTTTCGGTAAAGTCGCGTAGAAGGGAAGTAAAAAAATAATAAAAATAAAACATAATAAAATAATTCTCACGACGTTTCGGCCACAACGCAAGCAGCCGTCCTCAGGTGAAGAATGAAACACTGCCAAGCTTGGAGCGTATATTTAAGCTGGGTTGGAGGTGGAAGAAGAGCGCCTTGCAAATTCTTTTGTCAAGGCGCTCCTCTTCCACCAGCAGCAGCATGGTCAGGCGATTGGCCAGAATAGTAAACGGGTGTGGGGTTATCGTGGAGACCGTTGTTTTGTTGTTGCCAGTATGAGAGTAGTGAAAAGTAAGGCTGTAGTCGTAGTAGTAGTTGGTGTTGACTCTCTCTCTCTCTGTCTGGGGGGAGTTGCTCTCCATCGCAGCGGTGGTGCTGAAGTGGGAAATCACGGGCGCGTTCTGTTCACAGCGTGACGAACCACACTCAATGTGGCTGCGTCGGGTGGAGGAGGGTGGTAACGACACATTGACCCGATCTAACACAACAACAACAACAACAACAAACACACTTTGTCGTGAATGATATTGGTGGCGAAAGCCTAATGTGTTAAATTAAAGACGGCTACAGCAATCAATCCGAGCTGTACTTGACAGTCTTGTTGCTGTCTGGGTACGACTCACCGATGAGCTTGAATAAGGAGAAAACGTTCATCCTGATTGCATAGGAAGGTCCGGGCGTCTAATGAACGAGCCGTTCAAGTCAAAGCTGCCCTCTTATAATGGAATTAATTGGGCGGTGCTGGTGCAAGGACCACAGCATTGCAAACCAAAGACAAAGGCCCCCCGTGTAGCCTACAAAGGCTGTTGGCGAGAACGCGTGAAGGAGGCTTGAACGGCGCAGAGGTGTGGCCAGCGACCACGCCCGACCGCCTTTGTCTCCCCCCGGGTGCCGATGTTTGCACGCCGTACCGGGTAGGGATATTCATGTTAAGGCTGCGTCGAGGGGGTGTGGTGGTCTAAACCCGTTTCGGACGATCAACACCGATTTATACTTTTGTCGTGAGCGGGAATCGAACTCGGCTCGCCGGGTTGGTCGTGAGCGCAGCGCGCTAACCACTGCACCACCGCTCCCCCCCCCCCCCCCCCGATGCAATGTACACCACCGGTACACACGAACATCCCGTACGCGTGGCCGCTGTGTGAGCGGCTACGGCGTTGCTGATGAGCACGAAGAGGGGTCGAAGCGCACGCCTGGCAGATAGG